CCAGTCTTCCTAGCTTTCTTTCAAGATAAAAACACTGTGTCGGGTGCTAAGTAAGAGGTTTTAAGGGGTGACTAGGCCCGCAGGGCAAGGCATTTAAGCGCGTTTCAGCCCGTTAAAGAAGGACATTTAGGGCGCTCAGGCTGACACCGAGGCAATTAGGGGGCATCAGGCCACAGGGGGGGGCAGTTAGGGGCCGCTAGCCCGGCCAGGGGGGCCAGTTAGGGGCGTTCAGACAGCCAGCCAGAGGGGTTAGGGGCGATCAGCCAGGCAGGCAGGTGAGTGGTTAGGACCCAGCGTCCCCAGATTGCAGGAGGGATGTCCGCCTCCTGGGTCCCGGATTGGAGAGGGTCCAGCCCGGGCTGAGGGAACCCCCCCCCCCCCCCCCCCGCACAAATTTCGTGCACCTGGCCTCTAGTTGAAATATAATTGACAGTTAACATTGTGTAAGCTTAATGTGTACAGTGTGTTGATTTGACACACACATATATTATGAAATGATAACAGTAGGGTTAGTCAACACTTTCATCACCTCACATAATTTTTGTATGAACATTTAAGATTATTCTTTTAAGTATAATATATATATATATATATATATATATATTGCTTTCAGAGAGGAAGGGAGAGGGAAAGAGAGAGAGTGAAACATCAATGATGAGAGTCATGATTGGCTTCCTCCTGCAAGCCCCCTACCAGGGACCTAGCCTGCAACCCAGGCATGTGCCCTTGACCGGAATTGAACCTGGGACTCTTCAGTCCACTGGCTGATGTTCTGTCCACTGAACCAAACTGGCCAGGGCTGTTTTATGCTATCTTTTAATTTTAACATGATAATTTTTAGCTTTTATTTACCTTTTAATATAAAATATTTCTGTTTAATATTTAATACAATTTTTAGTTTTTATATATTGACATAAAATCTATACAAATGTGCCAACAATTTTAAAATTTAAAACTGCATTCACATTGTTGCTCTTTTTTTCTTAGTTCCTATTGTGGTCATAAAACAAGAGAAACATATTGATTTTATTAAGTTTAAAATATGTACACATTGTCTATAAATAGCTTTGTAGGTAGATTAAAAATGCCGTTAGGTTGTTTAAATGGTCCTGTCTCTTTCCCATTGTTATAGGAATGATACGTTTGTGTCATTGCCTACTTTAATACACAGGAAGAATCTAACACAGGAGCACGTATATTTCCACTTTGGATTGCCTTCACTACCATGTCATACTGTCACTACTTTCTCACATATCTCTTTTTATTTCTACCTCTCTGGGAGGTCCTCTTCTTTATTTTTCAGCTTTTGGGATTCAACACAGTTTTATACATTCATTCACAAAGCACATATTGGACACCTAGGTACCATAAAGTGAGGAAGATTATTGGTACAGAAATGAGTAGAATTGGTGCCTGCCCTTAGTGGGCTCACTTGAGTTGATCCTGGTTGGTTGTTCAGTGCTTCACTACTGATGCTGCATTGATAGTACCTAGGCCCTGAGTGAGGCGGTGCAGGAGCAGCTATGTACTGGGCACCTTGGCTGCTGCTCTTCTCTCATGAGAGAGGACAAGTCTGAGGGCGATTGGAGACCGTGGCTCAGGGCATTGGGCCTGCCCTGCTGTGGAGTTAGCAGAGCTGCCTGCGCTGGCTGGGACTTGAGTGGAAGACTCTAGAAAAGGGAGCACACATATGAGGAAGGTTTGGAGCTGTTTTGTTGGTGGGGATGGCTAGCTCTAAGTTGACAGCATTTGTGTTTGCACTGTTGGTACCTATATTTTAGGATAAGTTTTCAGTTGTTTACATATATTAACACTTTCCCCCCAAAACTGGTCTTGTGATTGATATGACTTAAAAGTTAAAAACTGCGATTTTGTAATGTTTGCAGACATTCAGTCTTCCAGTTTGCTCTGGAATATAGACATTAACTTTACCTTAAAAGTAGTCACTCATTTCTATAAAAATAGAAGGCTTGAAATGACCAAAGCAGTGTTTTCTCACCTGTTAGGGCATACTGTAGTGTCAGAATCTCCAGTTTTATTTTCAGGGTGTTTTAAGATTATCAGAAAAACTTATATTTACTTCATTAAAAATAATTACACAGGGTGGGCAAAAGTAGGTTTACAGTTGTTCATATGGAAGATAATAAACTGTTTTGCATACTCACAACTATAAACCCACTTTTGCCCCCACCCTTATATCATACAGCAGTTGTAGGAGGGAATGGGGCAAAAGAGTTCAAAATTAGATATTGTTAAAAGTCCAGTAAGTTTGACTACTGCTGCTTCAAATGCTCAGTTCTCCATCACAAATCAGAGACTTGTAAGATAATTCTGATGACTAATGGAAGCTCTGAAGGTTTAATTTTTTCCATTGTTTGACTTTCACATAGTTATTGTTTTTTATATTGCTACATCACTATTGCTTGTTATAAGTTAGTGGAGTTTTATTGGAGATGTGTGTGTAGGTATTTACACACACAAGCAAATAGTGTGAGATTACATATTTAATTTTGGAACCAGATTTTTATAGAAATTCAATAAAAATCCACTTTGTACCTCATGTTCTTCTTTATCAATTGTAGTTTGCATTTATTTGCTTTATATATATATTTAAGAATATATTTAAGATAATAAGTAATAGAGTTATAATTATTATTATTTTAAAATCTTCATTGTAGAAAGTATTACATATGTCCCCTTTCCCCCCATTGACCCCTTCTAGCCCTCCCCCACCCTTCACCCCTGGCCTTCACCACCCTATTGCCTGTGCCCATGGTTTATGCATCTATGCTAAGTTCTTTTGTTGCTCTCTCATCCACCCACCCACCCCCTCTTTTCCTCTGTGGTTCAACAGTCTGATCCATGCTTCTATTACTCTGGATCTATTTTGTTCATCAGTTAAAGTTATAATTATTTAAAAAACATATTTCTTTTAACAACTTAAAACAGCTTAAGGGAAAACATTCTTTACTATGTAGAGCTACATTTAGAAGGTTGATTAAGTAATCATTTATCATTTGAAGATGATAATTTTGTATTTTTAAAGATGTTTATGTGATTTATGGCCAAGTTTGAATGATTATATCTCAGTGGCTTTAATGAGCTAACTTGTAAATACTGTTGTTTTGAATATGATTTAATTTGCTTTATAAAACCAGTTTTTTGAAGGGGGTTATAGATTGCCTAGAAACAAAGTTTTTGAGGAATTATTTTATAAATGTCAAATTTACCTGAGTTGTATCAGCATTCTGATTTTTTTAT